ATACATACATACATACATACATACATACATACATACATACATACATACATACATGAATTGCCATTAAATGAAGTGATTTAAAGTGTCTTATCATTAATAATTTACTAGAGAGACTCCAAACTATATTAATTGTCTTATTATTAGAGTAGCTTTAGTGTTATACAGCAAGAAGAAAACAGTTAAGAAACATTAAATAATGATTTAGCTGAAGCACTACATCTTATCTTGGTAAATAAACTATTGAATTAATAATTGAATTACAATTTAGTTTCAAACGAATTAGTTCAAAACTGGATCCAGACTCAGTTACATTTGAGAATATAGCCATTTAAATAAATTGACTTTAATTAGTCACTTCAGAGGATACTTTCTAAGTATGATTAGGATACTTCCAGATGCCCAATTTTTCCATTACCTGAGTTGTCCAATTTCCCACTTGCAACCAAACAGAGTTTGGCCAGGACCAAACCAGGACCTTTTACTGTGAGCCTATAGTTTGCACAGTCAATCAATATACAGTAGATGTTTCATGACCAATAACCAAACAGAGATGTCTCAGCCAATTTGTGCTCAATCACTAGGAAGCAACCAAGTCTCTCTGCCACTTAACAAGAATACTATGGACAGCTGATGTTTCTATAAGGTTTCTTGAAAATGGAAATCTTGTTTGCAAAAGTCTTGCGGATGAGTAACAATACTCAGGTACAAATGCAATGGTGATTGGTAAGCAATGGTGCAAACTGATTATGAATTAATCTGCTATGAGTGAACTTGTAGCAATTTCTTAAAGTATGTATCCAACATAAACAATAATGTTGAGACTGTTTAATTAAAAGTGAAATAACTCCTTCTAATATAACATCAATATTCAGAAATATATAGCACGTACCAAAAATCAAACCCCATAGGCCATTCACAATGTTTTATTAATTAATTTTTTTCAGATAAAATCTTACTGTACTAAATGCTTAAAGTTCATAGGTCTTTGTGGTGTGATTGTGGTACAACCTGTATATATTATACTCATGTGTATGTTAAGGTAGCATGAAAGTGTCAATTTTAGAAAAATGATAAGGTTTTATACCATTAAGGTATAAAAAGTCAAGGTAAAATATAAATTCAGATTATTACATTTTGGAACAATACATTATATGCAAAAAATATTTGAATCACTTTGTAGGCTGGGACTTAAAATGGCATTGTTGCTTAATATTCACGCCTACTTTTATTTCATTGAGTCCCTCCACCTACTGTCTCTTAAAGAATTTATTCTAATGTAAAACATTAAGTTAACATGATGGAGGATGAACAAAGAAGCAATCTTAAATAATTAATCAATATACATATTTAATGAGATGTCTTGTTTGCATCAGAAGTTCTGGTTAACAGATGCAGATCCCATTCTGAAGGTTGCTTAAAAGTAGATGGATGATTGCAAGCTGCTGCATTAAAAATTATGGAGTTTGATTATGTCAATCCTGCAAACAGCTTCTTTTTAAAATGGGAATTACTATATTCCAAACTTTGACGAAAAATTATAATTAATGGGACATATAAAACTTAGGAGAAAAAGTAGCCAGATAAAATTATTGGGAACTTTTTATTCCATAATAACAGTGGTGGGTTTCCATTTTTTTTTACTACCAGTTTGCTCATGCATGTCACTCTTCTGCACATGAGCAGAAGTCTCCTGGTGGATGGGAGGAGCCTCCTGCTACCGCCATCACTAACAGTTCACCCGATCCGTGCCGAACCAGGAGCAACCCACAGCTGCATAATGCAACTTTAGGAAATAAACAATTTAATTTTCATATGAGCAAATCTTTGGTAGTTCTATATATATTATCTAGTTTTAAAAAGGCATAAAACAAATAATATTTGAACAAGTAGTTATATTTGTTATAATAGTATACTTACATCAATATAATTTCCATTGATATAGTCTGAGTTTAAATCCCCTTCGACAGGCTGCAGTCTCACTCGAGAATGATCATCTAAAAAATCCGACAAAAATAAATTAAATAATTTGTATTCTGCTCAGTAGTCATAAAATAACACTGATTAGTTATATTTGTATTGGAAGGAATACCAACTTACTTGTAAATATATATTTTGATCCCTAATACTACCATTAGTTTCAAAAGGCTGGTTTTGCTTTTAACAGATCTTAGACTGAACTGCTAAGTTAATTGTTATTCTTACTATTTTCCCCCCTCATCTTTGTGGATCACAGCATTTCTTTCATTGCAATATCTCACGAAGATGTTTTGAGAGTTTCTTGAATTAGTACTCTACTTGTATATACCACATAAATATTGGTTTATTAGAAAAAAGATGGGATATCTATGGGCGGCATACAAATAAATTAAATCTTAAATCTTAATCTTATGGAACAAAATAGGAAACAGAGAATAATAAATGATATTGCTAGGGACATGGCTGTCTGTTCCTGAAATGATATGTTAGTCAAGTTCTTCACATAAAGTATAAAAGATGCAGATAGTGTCCTATTTTTTCATTCTTTAAATCTTGTTTTCTTTGGGAATTTTGAAAAAGGAAAAATTGCATTGAAAAATATAGCCTAAATTGAAATGTATATAGAAATGAATGACAAATACAGAAAAAATTCAGGCAGTTGCCAGTTGTTTTATCTTTCAAAGTATGCTTCCCAACTTCCATTTTGTCACATTTATGTGTTGATAGTTAGTTAGTTTAGACAGACAGACAGACAGACTTTATATACCCACATTCCAAAAGGCAAATTCAGGAATTAATAACACCTGGTTAAATTTATTTGCTATCTCATATTGTCTTTGTGTATATATGTATATTCTTTAAATAGTCACCCTACTAATTGCAAACAGTTAGTTTCCTCAATTTCTAAGGAATAAAAAGTCCATGATTTATGTAATTCATTTAAAGTGAATTAATATAGTGATTTTTATTTGATTAAGCAATCTTATAATCCTGCAGCAATTAAATGCATAATTAATGATATATTGCCAAAGAAAAACATACTTACTTTCCTGTTAGTCCATTGATTTAGTATTATGACATTTCATTCTTGCTTACATATAATTCATAATTCTATCAACTCATATCAAATTCCCTTTCAGTTGTATTTTACACATGGTAAGGGAGTGACATAAATCTAAAAGCAGTTTTTGATTGTTTAGATGAAAATGTGTTGGTGAGTTAGTGAAGGATATAAAAGGGATGACAGGTTCTGAATGTGGGATAAACCATTTTTGGTATTACCAAAGACCTTGGGAAAAAAGAAAAGAAGTTCAAAAAAACCCCAAACAAACAAACAGTGAAAGTGGAATGACTGCAAGAAGAAAAAGCATGAATCCAATTTTAAAAAGTATTAGAAGAGAGATTAGCTTCCCAACAGAGTGAACAGACAGTAGTTATAAGGAAATATGGAAGCAGCTTGAAATACAGTGAAAAGTTATGTTACAAACTCACAGAAGTATGTGAATTACATTAATGGGAAGTATGATATAGTTTGTTTTGTGGACAAATTGAAAGAGACTGAAAGTATAAGAGAATGGTTGCTGCAAGAAATGAAGAGAGAAATATATTGTACAATGTTTATAGAGAAAACAGATATTGTAGTTCTATAAAAGGAGCCCAACGAGGCCAAGGAATGGTTAAAAGAGGCAGAGAAAATGCAAAGTAATGTTGATGGCGTCTCCAGCACAGTGAATGGAATTAGAAATAAAAATAATGAAATGATCTAAGATGAAACTGAAGTGAAAGAGTGTTGGAGAGAGCATTTACAGGACTGGATTATTGGATGCTCACTTGCGCGAGCAGAGGGCTCCTCTGCTCATGCTCAAATGTCCAGACGCCTTCCGCTCAAGCACTCACCGCTTGCATGAGTAGACCTTTGCATGGGAGCACAAATGCCTGCCACTTGCATGAGTGTAGCTTCATGTATGAGTGCAAGCACCCTTCACTCATGTTCTAAATGGACCTGTGTGGTGCATGGGCACCTGCCACTCACATGCCACCCCCTGCCACCAAGCTGGAAAGGTTGGGGACCACTGGAGTGCAGGCTATAGCAATGAACAACATTTAGGAAGTGCAGTTCAACTGGTAGATGTGTTGACCGATTTTATTTGCGTACTAGAGTAATTAAGAAATGCTGAATGAAAGAAGCGTTATTGTGCTGATTTAGTAAATGTTCATATTGTTCAGGACTTAGGCAAGAAGTTCCCTTAGTTGTTTAGTGTATTTATGGGAAAAAAAGGATAAGGGATGCATACAATAACATTACAGCATATTGGTGAGGCGCATGTTTCTATGTGTATTACAGTAAGCAGATCATTTCCATGTTATTGGCAGATAACCCAAAATATCTGTACAAATATAAAGATAATTATATGATACAACAGAAGTAGCCATCATACACTTCATATAGTAAATGTTGTTTTATCTTCCTATTTTATCCACATATCCTTTCAGAGCTAGGCTCAAGAGACAACGCTACTCACTGAGTGCCACAGTTGATATCAGTATTCTAGCCACAAACATTTGTTAATTCCTTTATTTTGCTGTTTTTTGAACTCTTACACATTCATTCATTCATTCATTCTAATAAGTAGAGCTCCTTTTTTTACTCCATATACATAGTGCTACATATCAGTGGGCAGTGTTGTCAGTTACTAAAAGGAGTTTGCACAGTAGTACATTATACTGCCAACACTTACATGCAATGATATTCCCATATCTATTCTTCATGCGGTTCTCATCTTTTTTAGCTGAGTCCCATGGTGCAGACTGTCCTTCAAAGAAACTCTGTTTAAAAAAAAAAGGCAGGGGAAGGAATGACACATTAAGGGAAAGAATGTGCAGCAACGTTACGTAGAAACTCACACAAAAATGTAAATTATTAGGTGATAGACTACTAGAATTTAGAAACTATCATAACATAAAATATTAATTAGAGATATGCTCCTATAAAAATGATTTGGAAGAAGTGCTCCCAATCATCCAAAAGACAACAACTCTCTCCAATTTATTAAAACAGTCCTTTTCTTTTCATTTTTCTGTGTGAGCCTGATAAAAGCAGTCATTTCATTCAAGTTAATAGGGCTCTTAAGAGAGCTCACACAGAAATCTAAGAACAAGAGCAGTTGCTTTAATAAACAATTGAGAGGTGCTGTGTTCGCAGTGTCACAAAAATACTTGAATGACTTTTTAGGTGTGCATAGCCCTAATATGTTAAATCTCTCTCCTTGACAAATACAATCTTCATAAACCTTCAAGCAGAGACAACAGAAGCAAAGGCAGATAGATTGATTTAGGAGTGTTGAATATTTACAAAATCATCATGAACAAAAGAGACGGAATTAGTGAGATCAATTATATTACAGCTTGTAAAATAAGCATCCTCAACCTGTTGCCTTTGAGATAAATTGAATTATAAAAGCTCAGCCTACTTTTATTGTTTAATATTATTTTTGTATGTGGTTAAATTGTATGTTCTAAGCTACCCACAGCCAATGTGGGAACGGATACTCTCTCTATGTGAGAGAAGATGCATTTATTCTTCATGGTATAATTTTCATCTCCCTTCCCATACCCTGAAGATCTTTAACTTTGCAGAATTCTGGGGCTTTGATGCAGTATTTCTATTCCTGCTCTTAAGGATGACTTCCTTTCAGGTACTTTGGTCATCAATCATGGCCTCCTTTGGGTGGTTCTGCCAAATGAAGTTAGGTAGAAGTCTATCAGAGAGAAAGCTATTTCTAGGACTTCTGGTCAAACTCTTTTTCTCTAATCTTTTTACGGTTGCTTATCTGCTCCCTATATGTTTCTCAGAAATCTAAGATATTGATTTTCTTCCAGGTTTTTGATTTTATTTAAATGCCTGTATTATCTTGCAATTTTGACTAAAGAAATCGATATTTCATCTCCTGTTTTCTTATACATTTATTAGTTTTAGATTAAAGGGTTAGTTTTATTCTTCTAATAAGTTTATAATTTACCCTAGGGACTCTTATGATTGGGCAGATTTTCAATACACAATAATACAAATATAACCATATGTCCTGAAGTGCTGCTTAAAATTGTCTTAAATAAAGCATACACAAATGAGGCAGGCCTGTTATGTGTGACCTCTAATACATTTACATAATTGCAGTTCCATTATTAAATATTCCTTTACAAAGAAAACTGACTTTTTAATCATTTTGTATACTTATGCTTTCATTCCAAAGAACTGTTCTAGATTTAAAACACTTTGCATTCAACATCTCTTATAAATGCTTATAGGTATAAATCCTTTTTGAATATTCCAGAAATGGGGAAGGGGGGAACACCTCTGCAAAATCTACTTGATCCTGAAGGTTTCCATACCAATTCAGAGTTCATTAGTGATTTGGCACAGTCTTCATATGGAAGAGCAATTGTTATCTTTTTTTTGTTTATATCCCATTTTTAATTGGATGAACATATTGACCTGAGGAAGCAAATGCTTTCAAATAAAAAATGCCCCCTTCTTACCAATATCATTAAATGGAATGTGCTAGCCTTTTTTACCCAGCACTAGGATTCATAAAAATATTGAATGTCAAGAGGAAGACAGATTAAATCAAGTTGGTTTAAACTTAGCAATTATGACCAGTAAGCAAAGTTGCTCTCTGATGGAAGTGGAAGCACTTTGCTTCTTTATTAAGCAAACAACTCATTAACAACAATTAATTGTGAAATTTGTTTTAAAGGAAAAATAATAATAGGGAGATATCAGCTTTTTTACAGGTAGAAGTTGTAAACTGCTTCATAACAGCATTAGGTGTATTTCATGATTTGATATGCCTAAAATTGCTGCCTGTATGCCACTGCATATAAAAGAAACAAAATGCACATGGTAGTGGGTACTGTTCAAATGTGCTATTATCTGATTATCTGATGTGCTATAAATTTATACTTTCTCTTTCAAGAAAAAAATAAATTGTGATCGAATCTTGTTCATTTAAAAATTAACATTCTAAGTGAGGAGTGTCAAACTCGTGTTGTCACATGATGCATCGTGACTTTTTCCCGTTTCATTAATCCAGGTGTGGCTAGTGCGTGATGCACTTAGGCCAAGCATTTGACACCCCTGCTCTAAGCCATAGTACAAAGTATATTTTAACTGTAAATTTCTTGTTACTTAGATAACAAGATCTGTTTATTTGATATTTTAAATGTCAGTTCTATTGCCATAATTCCATCTATCTAACCATACAAACACACACGCACACACGTGTGTGTGTGTGTATGTGTATTCAAGTTACCCTTGAATCTTGGTAACTTCATGAATAGGTCCATGCAGTTCATTTGGCAGCAGATCAGAAATGGCGTGCTTGACTTCTTCAGTTATATTTTTAAACTATCCTGTGCAAGGTTGAGAAATATTGACAAGCTGTTACCCATGTGGCCTTTGTGTACAAGGGAGGATTCCACCCTTAGATATCCCTACTCCTAATCCAATGTATTAACCATACTGGTTTTCCTAATCAATAACACACAATAATATATGAAATCAGCTCGTTGTCACCTAAATAATATGAATAAATAAAATCACTGGACAGGTTCTTTTAGGCACAATTGCTGAGTAAATCACAGCAAGGCTGGCACCACAGGATATTATTTACAAACTACTCAATGCGGCTTTCACTTTATTCAAGGTTATTAACCACAGAATCATACCTTTCTGGGGGGAAAATGCAGCTTGCTCTAACAATCAGAATAAGTGAGAGGCAGTGCTGACTCCCTTTTTTGATGAAAGGAGCGGCTGAATTTACACAGCATGCTCAACTGAGCTAAAATAGATTTAAACAGTTTGTAGATCAAGGTGGTGGAAATACAGCCACTTATACTAGCACGTTGGGTATGAGCCAGATAGCTGCATTAAGACATGTTACGGTTTGTTTATTTAGGTGTAGTATATTAAGTGAATGAATACAGCAATTGGGATTTGTTACATCGAGGTCAATGTTTCTGCATGCTTTGAACTCGATCACTGTGTCTTTTCTCTGAAATTTCTCAAAAGAGCATTCTCTAATTCTCTGCCTAGAGCTTTCTAGAATATCTTGTCCCGATTTAACTCATTCCCTATCAATCCTTTATGTGTCCAAACACCATCATGGACTCTGACATAAAGTAAAGAAATAATGTCCATATGTAGGTGCTGACTCATTAGAAGATTGCTACTATCTGGTTTATGTATGCAACCATTTAGGTCCAGTCAGGGGTGATACTCAGCAGGACCATTTACTGCATGATAAAAAATCAACCTTGGTTTTTATTATGCAATTAAGAAATACTATCCATCGTTGTATCACTGCCGCTTGTTTATATTTATAAAATCGAGTTCATAAAGTTTAACTTCAAACTTTTCTTACTTTTTCTTTGCTTCTAATCTTAATTCCACTTTTCCACACTTCTCTCCAGGAGCAAGATGCATTCACAATGCAGTTAAAAAAACTTTTAAAAAATGCCTTGACTGTTGTTTAAATACGTGCCATATTCTAAAATGGTGGAAAGAGTACCAATTCTGCAGATACATATAGTGGAGAAAACGTATTAGCTAAAGAGGAACACAAGAGATACATAAATATTTGATCCCTCGACTTACTATTAAAGAAAATAAAAGAGGTATGCACTAAATAAAAAACATGTTTTGCTTTATGTATAGACATAATGCATGGTAGTTTAAAGTTTGAGAGGTCCTAATCTGGCCAAAGAAAAAGCTGGACTATTTAGATTTTTGCTGGGATAAATCTGCAGAAGTTTTAAAGAACAAGTAGGGCAAAAATGATGCACCTTTTTTGTTTCTCTTTTATTCCTCTGCATAGCTTCTGTGCCAGACCACCTGTCAATTTTCCTAGTGCCTTTCTTCTTACCTTCTGTAAGCCACTGTGATGCTTGAATTTGAGTTGCATACCAATGTAGCCTGCCACCCCATCCTTTCTGCCTCTTTTTTCCTACTGCCACCCTGAAAGCACCAATCAACCTACCTAATTAACCCAATCAACCACTTAAATATGAGCCATCAATTTGCTACAGCTGCAAAAAAAGTAAATGCAGTTCTTGACTGCATTAACAGAGGGATAAAATCAAGATCATGTGAGGTGTTAGTACTACTTTATAATGCCTTGGTAAGACCACACTTGAAAAACTGCATCCAGTTTTGATCACCATGGTTCAAAAATACGTTGATACTCTAGAAAGAGTGCAGAGAGGAGCAACAAAAATGATTAGGGGACTGGGGGCTGAAACATGTGAAGAACAGTTGTAGGAGCTGAATATGTCTAGTCTGATGAAAAGAAAGGCTAGGGTGAGTCCAGATAACAATCTTCCGATATCTAAGAGGCTGTCACAAAAAAGAGAGAGTCAATCTATTCTCCAAAGTACCTGAAAGCAGGACAAGAAGTAATGGATGGACAGAAATCCAATCTAGAACTAAGGAGAAATTTCCTGACAGTGAGAACAATTAATCAGTGGAATGGCTTGCCTTCAGAAGTTGTGAGCACCCCATCGTTAGAGGTTTTGAAGAAAAGATTGGATAGCCATTTGTCCAGAATGATATAGGGTTTCCTGCTTGAACAGGTAGTTGACTAGACGACTTTCAAGGTCGCTTCCAATTCTGTTATTCTGAGACTGTAGTTCCAAGTAGTTCCAGCCAAATAACCAAAGAGAAACTGGGAAAGGCAGAGTAATCCCAACACATTTGCGCAGACTGCATAAGGACACTTATTTATTATTTATTTATTTTCTTTCATAAGTTCAATATGATATATAAACTTTTT